AAACGTCTGGTGGGTGCTCCTCAACTTCCAACAGTTGACCTTCCTCTGGCTCCAAACGATGAGCTATAAAGGGAGTGTTGGAAGGTGTAATTGTTAATTGCTGGCCTTGTGAAGCTTGAGGAGAAACCAATGGGGCATGAGAAGTTGAATAACTGTGGCAACTGTAATCAGAATGATGATAATGATGATGGGTTGAGGCATGGCGAGGATGATAGCGGTAGATTGCCGGGCTGTGTCGTCAGTGGTAAGACCGCACTGGAGAGACATATCTGGATGAAAGTCCAGTTCTGTAGTGCCTGTGATGATGTGCCGGGAGGTGTGAAGAATGCAGTGAATGTGGCAAACCTCTTGAAGAAGGGGGAGCTGAATGAGTGATGTATCTTGAATAAGGTGATGGTGACGCATGATATCTAGAGGCATAATGTTTTGCTTGGTCCCGTGGAGTCCAACTCCTGTCGTCCTGTGTTAGGTGAGGGGAATAAGGAAAAGGTGGCGCGGAAGACAGTGCTGGGGAGAAAGCCAACAGTTCCGGACTCATTTGTCTTAGTGCATCAGATTTGTAAGGTGCTTTCTTTGGCATCGAGGGGCTGGATGGTGTATATGGTGCCGATGTTGCCAGTGCAGATATATGTGCCGAGATCAATGGTGCCAAGGTTGACGGTGCCGAGATTGGCGGTACTGAGGTTGTCGGCACGTCTATGGGCAGTGCCAGCCTGGAGGGTGCCAACATCGTGAGTACTGCAATGGCCAGTGCAGTTGCTGGCAGTGCCAATCACTGAGCCATTGAGGCCGTTGCTGATACCAATGCAGTTTTTTGTCATGGGTTTCGTTCTGAGAGCGACTTATACCTGGATGTCACCGAACCAGATGTGCCTGGCTTGTTGCCCACATTCACTCAGGCTGATGGTAAAGAACAGGCTGGTGAAGCTCTTTTTTGAGCTAGAGCTGACTGCCGAGAGACGATTTTTCTTTTCTTGGCCCTGGGAGATCACGGAGTGGAGACTGACTGAGAAAGCTCTGCAGGTTGAAATGCTTTGTCAAATAAGAACATTTTCAGCCACACTTCTCGGTCCTTCCATGCCCTAACAGTGAGTTTGGCACAGTGGACGTATTTTTGAGGCACATGTGCCTCGCTGAGGCATTTAATACAATCAGCATGGCCGTCTGATGCAGGCACCACATCACAGCATGTATTGCACTTCTTAAAGCCAGGAGAGCCCGGCATAGCTACTTATATAACTAACAAACTATTTTTTGTTTTGTTTTTATTTAAATGGATAACTCACTATAACTAGTGATAGAAATGTAGCCGTGTTAGTCTGTGTTCATTTTTTTTAATTGTATCCTTTGGTATATATGGTTGTGACTATTTTCTTCCACTATTTGATCTGAGGAAGTGGGTCTGGCCCACGAAAGCTCATCATCTAATAAACCATCTTGTTAGTCTTTAAAGTGCTACATTGTCCTGCATTTTACTTTCACTATAACTACTAACTATAAGAATTCAAACTAGAACTAACTATAACACTAAATACCCTTCTGTTCAACTCCTGACAGACTTCTCTGAGGAGAGAAGGCTCACTCCATCTGCGACCTTGGGTGGCGAAGAAGGAACGGGCAGAAACCAGACTGTGCAAGAGATCAAAAGAACACAAATGGCACAAAGCACATGCTGCACATGAGCGGTCCAGTTGCCTACTGCTAATGAAAACTCCAATCTGCAGTGCCTGGTTTAGCATGATACCTAAAGTTACACCTAAAACTATTACAGTTAAGACAATACTTTAGTCCCCATGGAAAAAAATACTCACATTACCCAACACAATGTCTCCAGCTGATTGCAGAACAGAGCTGATAGACTTCATAGGACATCTAGTCCACTTCATTATAATGGATGAATCAGTAAGATGGTTCTGTGACTGAAGAATGATAGACAAAACTGCCAAAAAAAGTAAGTGGACCCACAATTCTCTACGAAAATCCAAAGAATTCCATGGAAGAAAAACAAAACAGTAATATTTACTGATTGCTTTTGCAATTTCTGATTACATCATTAGGCACTGAAACACGTTAGCCACTAAAAACACACATTCTCCCAACATTTTAAGAAATAAGGTAACACTTAATGCATTTTGAAAATTTAGGCAGTTGTCTACTCTTAAGATAAGCATGCACATCTCCCATTGACCCCAATGGGAGTTTTTATACATGAGGGCTGTTTTTATCTCTTATGTAGCTAGAAAGTTGTGGCAGGGGGTTGCTTATAATTATAAACTCCTTTTAATTTGATAGTTTAATAATGCCTACATTTTTATAAAAAAACATTAAATGAACATTTAATTGTTTATTTTAAAATAATACTTATGGTCATTAGCTTTGTTCATTTTTTTTTTTTATTGCCTTAAGTTTTGCATTAACAATTCAAAAATCCTCTTAGATATTGTTTCAGGATTTAGGACTACATCTTCATCACTGATCAGTTCTGCTCAGATTAGGACTCCAGCTGCAAGAGAGGCATCATTCATTTCTATAATTTAATATTTGTATTACAGTGTAGCTGGGATCTTTCAAACCAACAGGAGTCCTGCTCCACCACGTTAGGTACTGTACAAAAAGCATAAAATGCCCCTGCTCCATACAGATTCTAAATAGACAAGACAGACAAATCATAGAAAGGGAAACAAAAGCATAGTGAGGTGGAATGACTCATCAGAGACATCACAGCAAGTTATAAGCAAAAGTGAGAGTAGAACTGAGGTGGCCTGAAATCTAATTTGATGGCCTATCCACTTGATCACACTAACCCCCCTTGAGCAACCTCCCCAATAGTGCTCCTTGGGAGCAACTTAACAAGGAGGGGACAGAGAACAGTGGGAAATGGAAAGTGTTCTTGGTCATTGGTCCTCAAACTTATTTTACCATGTCCCCTTTCTTTGGGTCTGTAGTGATTGATGTGCCTCTGACAGGCACCTGGCCAGCAGCTGCTGCTCTCTGGCCAATCAGCTCTGAATGTGCACACTAAGGGTTTTTTTCCCCCTAAAGCTTCTCTTCTCTCCCCATCCTAATACATTCTGCACATCCCCCAGTCTGAAAACCTCTGCTGTGGCTCATTCACATTTCTCCTATTTACTGGTCAGTGGGGAGTAAGTTACTCCATGAAAAAGGACATGCTTTCAGAACAAGGAAGGAACTGTGATTCCGAGACATTATTCATTCTCTGGCCATTTCCTGAGGTGATACAACCACATGTTATATTTTGTTCAGGGTAGATTGTAAGTTTACAGTCCAGTCTTACCATTCCTTGTAACAAATGCATAACTAAAATAATGGGAACATTTTGTGCCATTGGTTTTGTAACAATTTATATACAGAGTTCTGCTTAAAACAGTATATTATGGCCTATAATACGTTATAATCCTATTCCAAATAGTTTTTATCCTCGGTAAGTAGGTAATCTTGAATTCATTGGCAAAACAAGTTATACATACATACTCTTACTACTAGCCTTCAAAAGATTTTAACTTTTTCCCTCTCTGCAATTTTTTATTAAAAACAAGATAGACACAACTTCAGCATGAAGAAGAAAATCTGTGTTTTGGACAGTTACGGACAAATTTTATTCACAGGATTTAGCTCTTCCTGCAGGCATTTCACAACTAAAAGTACACACAGAAAAAAAATTACCTTCCAGAGACAATCAAATACAGTAGCTGTAATCTTTGCTTTATTCTTTTTCTCTTGTACACAGTTGTGGGGAGGAAAAGAAAAGAGAATGTATTGTATTCTTCTGAAATTACAGTATTTCCATTTTAGCATTGTATGATGTTAACCAAATGAAATAAAGAGGTTAGAACTCTGATAATGTAAAGGACAGCAGCCTCCCCCAAGACCAAAATATATTACCCCATGGATAAACGTGGTGATTTTCTATTGATCTATTATCTAAGGCAAAATTCTCCAGAGTCCCTTTACTACTGCAAACATGAAAATAATAGGCTAAACTCCTTCTGTCATACTGGGTAGTGGGTTTTTTTAAGTGTGCACCATTTAACTTTTAAAATAGATCAAAACAAAAGTAAACATGCCATCAACACAAACATATTTTCTATAATGCCTACAACACACTTTCGTCAAACATGTCAAAGATATCAAATAACTAAGGTATAGTTAGTTCTGTGAATGGCAGAAAGAAAATTGTTCATCAAATCAAAAAGTATTAGAAAATGTGTACAAGAATCTCTTGCAATATAACTGAAAAACAAAAAAGATATTACTATTGGCCTTTAATTATAAAGAAATAATTGCAATACTTAAAATAAAAATGAATCTCTATTTGTATTTTAAATTAAGAAATACTCCTTAGTATGGCAGTGCTCATGAGGTCTCTAAAACGATCATTTGACTTTGTCCTTTACTGACTATGTTCACACCAATGAGATGGTTGAATAAAATATACTTGTTCACATCAAAGATATTAACCATCATTTTGCTTTTTTTTTTAATTTAGAGAAAGCACTGATATACTGACTGAAAAACATGTCAGAGCTATGCCTTTCCTGGTAAATGGTAAATCAATCTGGTAAAGAACAAAGACTGATATAAATCCAGGTAGGGGTGTCTTCCTGCTTTCTACATTTTTAAGGGGTTTTTAATATGGAATGATATAATAAAATAACAATAGAAAATAAAAGTTGATAGACAATTTCTGCCCTATTAATTTGGTAAACAATTGTATTATTTTGATAGATAAATATGTGACAGTTGTATTCATTGTATTCATTGTCCCAATATACGCCTAAGAACTAAGCTGTCCATATGTTTCAAATACACACACTATAAACATCCATGATATTTATTATATAAAATCGTGGCTGGTAAAATACTCTTTTTTATGAAAGTTGATTATTTGCATGTAAAGAGGAACAGGAATTCTTACCATTAATAACAAACATTTGGAAATAACACAATTAATTGTGAGCTTAAAATGTTAGCACACATACCCTTCTCACACGCAATTCTTCTACTGCTTCTAGTAAACTTGTTTTGAAATCTAACAGATGAATTGAAAGCAATGAATCTGAAGGACTTTGAAAAGTATAAGAAGGTGTCGTTGTCTTAAAGTTGTTATCCATACTTAAATTCTGTATCTGCAATATAAGAATTGATACGATCTATTCAGATTTAACCTTTTGAAGAAGATTTTCACTTCCTGAAAACTTCCAAGTGTTGAAAATAACAGACATCATAATTGAGCTATTTAAACAACATTGTCTGTTGCCACTGCCTTAGGGTCCTTGGGCTAGAACCTAGAGTTGTGGGTGGGCCCAAGATTCCCCCTAAACCTCCCCATGCCATCACAGAGTCTGCCCTTGAGAAGGATGACCAGTACTGCAGACGGACGTTTACCCCAAAAGAGAAAGTTACTCACCTTGGCGCTGTAACGACGGTTCTTCAAAATGTGTGTCCGTGTGAGTGCTCCACTGTAGGTGTCAGGTCATCCCAGCACCGCAGATTGGAGTTTTCATGAGCAGCTGTCAACCGGACAGTACATGCGTGGCTTGTGCTTTGCGCCGTTTGCAATCTTTTGATCTCTTGCACGGCCCGGTTCCCGCCAATTCCTCAAGCCTGCCCCGGTATGTGGAAGATATTAAGGAAAAAGAATCCAAGATGGGAAAGAGGGCGGGTAGTGGAGCACCCATGGGGATACACATCTTGAAGAACCATAATTACTGCACCAAGGTGAGTAACTTCATCTTCTTCTTCGAGTGGTGTCCCTGTGGGTGCTCCACAGTAGGTGAATGTGTAGCAGTACTCAGTCTAAGTGGTAGGTGGACCTTGGATTTATGGTTTGACAGCAGTCGATAGGACTGTGGAGGCCACAATAGTGTTTTTTGCTTGAGCCTGCAAAATTGTATAGTGCTTCAAAAAAGTGTCATTGGTGGACCATGTAGCCATTCTGCAGATGTCCTTGAGGGGAACCCCATGAAGAAAGACTGTAGACGTCGCCACCGCTCTTGTCAAGTGTGCTTTAGGTGTTTGAGGTAGTAGTTTATTCCTTAGAATATGCAGGAGACTATAAGTTTGGAGATGCATTGTGACGATAGCGGACACCCCTTATTGCAGTCCGCTGTAGAAATGAGCAAATGATCCAACTTGCAGAAAGATCGGGGGAGGGGAGTTAATATAAAATGCAAGAGCTCTGTGTACATCCAGTAAGTGATATATTGCATCCTTTGTAGTTAAGTGTGGCTTAGGGTAGAACTTAGGCAGTACAATGGGTTCATTATGTGAAAGTCAGAGCAAACCTTAGGAATGAAGGAAGCATGTGGGCGTAGTACTATATTTTCTCTATTAAAAATAGTGTATGGTGGAACCACCACCAAGGCTGCCAACTCACCAACTCTGTGAGCAGAAGTGATTGCCAGCAGAAAAATTACCTTTAGCACCATCATAGACAGTGGACAAGTAGCTATAGGTTCAAAGGGTGCCTGGGTAGGAGTATCCAGAACCATTTCTAGATGCCATGATGGTGGCGGTAGCCTGCATGGTGGGCATAGGTTGGAGAAGACCTTTATAAATCTCTTTGTGATAGGATGAGCGAAAACAGACCATCCCTCAATTGGTTGGTGCAAGGCAGTGATCGCTGATAGATTCACCTATAAAGAGGAGAGGGATAATTCAGCGTCCTTGAGAGATAATATGTAGTCTAAAGTGGTATGCAATGGTACTGTGCTAGGGTCTAAATGCTTGTCAGAGTGCCAAGAGAGGAATCTACACCACTTTGGAAGGTAAGTGGTTTGGTGGAGTGCTTTCTGCTTTGTAGAAGTACCTGTTTTACTTAATCAAAGCACTGTAGTTCTTCCTGGTGGAACCAACAATGAGTGATGCTGTTAGGCGGAGCAAATGTGGCTGCTGGTGAACTAAGGATCCCCTCTTCTGAGTTAGAAGATCTTGCCGAATCAGAAGGCGATAGGGAGGCTGAGGAGACATCAGATACAGACAAGGAAACCATATCTGTCATGCCCAAAACAGTGCTAAGAGAATAACTGTTACTCTGTCTCTGGCAATTTTCTCCAAATACCTTGCTAATGAGTGGAATGGGGGAAATGCATATGAGAGAGTACTCCCCCCAACTGAGAAGGAAGGTGTCTTCTAGAGACCCCAGCCTGATGCCTGCTCAGAAGCAGTAATGGTGACACTTTTTGTTTATGTAGGAAGCAAATAAGTCGATTTACGGTGTACCCCATCATTGGAAGATCGATTGGAGGACCCAAGGGTGCAACTCCCATTCATGATCCAGGGCAAAGTGTCTGCTGAGGTTGTCTGATATGATATTGTTTACTCCTGGTAACTATGACACTACAAGGGTAATTTTGTTCCATATGCACCATAATCGGACCACCTCTGTGCATAAAGTATGAGAATGGGCATTTCCCTGGAGATGTATGTAGTACATTGTTGATATGTTGTCGGTAAGTATTCTGACATTTTTGCTTCAAATGTGTGTAACAAAATGCTTGTATAAATTGAACACAGCTCTGAGTTCCAATAAACTGATATGAAAAATAGTCTCTTGCGTGGTCCATCATCCTTGTATTGACATGGCACTCATTTGGGCTTCCCATCTGATAAGGGACATATCGGTAGTTATATGAATAGACTGTTGGTCCTGATGAAATGGTACGCCTACTAGAAGATTGCAGGGATTGGACCACCATGCAAGAGAATTAAGAAGTGAAGTGGAGGGGAGACCAGTTTGTTCATTTATCTGTTGTGATGGGCATATACTGCTGCAAGCCAGTGTTGAAAATATCGAAATGTAAATGGGTGCGATTGACCACATAGGTTGTAGCAGCCATGTGACTCATAAGCTGGAGACAGGTAATTATGGGAATTGTGGGGCTGAGAGTGACAGTAGTAACCAGTTCTTGGATTGCTTGGAATTTCTGCATAGGGAGGTATGCTCTTGCAGATACAGAATCTAACTTGGCACCTATGAATTCTAGAGTTCATGTTGGTTGTAGTGTTGTCTTCTGTGTATTGAGTATGAGACCAAAGAGATCGAACATTTGCCTGGTTAATGCCACCATTTGCTGTGTCTCCATTTCTGATGGGCCTTTTACCAAGCAATCAGCAAGGTAAGAAAAAATAATCATGGCTTGTCTGCAAAGGTAGGCTGCTACAACAGCTAAGGTCTTTGAAAACACTCTCAGTGCCGAAGAAAGGCCAAACGGTAGTACTCAATATTGATAGTGATCTGTACTCACCATGAAATGTAGGAACTGTCTGTGTGCAGGATGAATAGTTATGTGATACTAGGCATCCTGCATGTTGAGGCCTGCAAACCAGTCTCCCTTCTCTAATGCTGGGATTAAAGTGAAACTATGGTAACCATTTTGAATCACTGCTTTCAAAGACACCAATTCAATTTGCAGAGATCCAAAATAGGTCACCATCCTCCTGTCTTTTTTTGGTGTGAGAAAGTAATGGGAGTAGAAACCCCTGCCTCTAAAGTCCTCTGGTACTACTTCCACTGCTCCTTGACTGAGCAGTCATTGTACCTTCAGTTGCTGTGAAAGGGGTCCCTGAAAAGGGATGGGGAGGTGGGGGAAGCGAGGTAAAGGGGATAGTATACCCTGATCTTATTATCTCAAGGACCCAGCGATCTGATGCGATGGCTGCCCAGCAATGATGAAAAGGCCTCAGAGGGTGGTGATATTTCAGAGCAGTGTGTGTTGTTTCATGCGAGATGGGGAGATTCTGCAGACCCTCGACCAACAGGTCAAACCTGCTGCTTGCTTGCCTGGTTGCCGGTATTACAAGTGCCCTGTGAGTGTTTCCTTTGTGCGTGTTGTTTGCTCCTTGATTGATCAAAAGAGCGTTGTTTGTAACTGGAGGAGGAGAACTCCCGCTGCTTTTGATATGGAGTGTAGCGTTTACAGCGGAATGGGGGAATATACATCCCATGTGTGCACAATGTTGTTCTAGAGTCTTTGCTGGAATGCAGCACATCATCCGTCTTCTCAGCAAATAATTTTTGCTTGTTGAAAAGGAGATCTTCCACCTTTGACTGACACTCATGAGGGACCCCCGCAGATTGTAACCAGGAAGCTCTCCTCATAACTACTGCTGTAGCAGTAGCTCTGGCTGCTGTATCAGCTATGACTAGTTCTGTTTGGAATGATGTTCTGAAGGAGGCATAGCCCTCCTGAACTATGGATTTTAATACAAACCTTTTGGAGTCCAGCAGTTCTAAGAAAGAGGTCAACTTCGTGTAGTTATCAAAGTTGTGATTGGAGAATAGCGCTGCGTAGTTTGCTATATGCAGGAGTAAGGTGGCTGAAGAATAAAGCGCTTTATCTGTCATGTTTTTATATTGTGGTAATTTGGCTCTGTGTCGAGCAGCGTCAATAACTAACGAATTTGGTTGGGGGTGGGAAAATAAGAAATCAGCTCCCTTTGGAGGGACAAAATATCGTTTGTCAGCTCTTTTGTTAATTGGCATTGTCGAAGCTGGGGTCTGCTATATCTTATCGGCATTCTCCATGATGGAATCATCTGTGGGGATTGCCACTTTTCCCCGTTGTGATGGCTGGAGGTTTTTAAGGAGCCTGAGTTGTTTCTCAGGTACCTCAGTTAATGTGATGTCCTGAGATGCAGCCACCCTTTTGAAAAGCTCCTGAAACTGCCTCAAGTCATCAGGAGGGAACTGGCTGCGAGGTATGACCACTTCATCAGGAGATGATGATGACTGATCAGTTGGTGATACTATCTGGTGGGTACTCTGACCTTGGAGAGTTGACCTTCCTCTGGCTCAGAATGATGAGCTGTAGAGGGAGCATTAGGTGGTGACATTGCCACTGCCTGACTATGTGAGGGTTGCGGGGAAACAGAGAGCACGGGAGCTCGGGTGACTGGGAGCAAGGATATGTCATATCCAGAATGATGACAGCAATGCCAAGAGTCATGCCGAGAGTGATATCTGTAGCATATTGGACTGTGTCGTCTGTGGTAAAATCAGACTGGTGAAACGTGTCAAGATGCAATACCACTTCTGTAGTACACCTGATGATGTGGTGGTAGGCGCAGGGAATGGGATTCCCTTGAAGAAGGAAGAGGAGAACGAGGTAGGTATCTTGTATAAGGG